TCTAACCAAGTAGGAACGATGGTGAAGCATGAAAGCTGAGTTCTGTGTTGTCAGTCACCAGCTGCTAATTGCTACTGGCAGGGGGGAGTAGAGGGAGGAGGGGAACGGAAACTACAAGTGTTTTTCTTACTGTTGATCTTTAAACTTACCTACCACCGCTTTAACGTTTGAGGCACCATTTTAGACAAGCTGACTTCATTTTAGGCAGTATTTAGTCAGCTGGAGTGAGAAGAGCGATTTTACATCTAGCCACTGATTTGGAAGTTGTTCGGTTTTCAGCTGAGAATACACTCACACTGCCAACATGCTGGGGTTTGTTGGGCTTCCATTGGAAATCTACGTACAGTAAATCTGCTAACTATGGTGTTATGTTTTTTCTAAAGGGACCGGCCAAAAGAAGAAGGGGGTGGTCCGTAAGACTGAAAGTTCTCAAACTACCATTGGAATTACATGGCTATGAGCTTTGGGTATTGACCAAAAGAATGATACAGTGGTTTTATGTAGGCAAACTGTGTTTTCTTTGCAGTGAGGGTGGGAAAGGACCTCAGATATTTCCCTTTCGCTCCTTCATGGTGAATGAAGACACTTTAGGTGGTTTAGACATGGCTCTCTCTGGAGGTACTCCAGGCATGTCCAAGTGGTAGGCAACTAAAACGGGAACATGCTGGCATCAGCGACAGGAGACGCCTGAGGACGTGACTGGTAAGAAGGACGTCTTGCTTGTCCTGCCTAGCTGTCTACTTCTTAACCCTGCAGACTTGGGGAAAACTGACCAAAAAAGGATGAATGGGTTAGAAAGACAGCTGAATGTTTGGATCGAAATTAAAATTAGGCCTATAATAGATCTGTGAGAGATGCTAGAAAAGAGGAAAATGTGAAATTAAATGTCATGAAAAATGAATACAATTTTGCAGTCTATTGTATAAAGTGCTGAAATTAGATTTAAAAACATTTAAATAAGTTATAAAAATGTTTTCTTTCACTTTCCAACTGTAGAGACCACATTTTCCTTTTTTGTCATGCATATTTTTTATTTGTTCCTTTATTTTATTTGTACATTCAGCTGCACATTATAAATAAATTATATATATATTTGACTGTACTTGTGTTTGTGTGTGTTGTGATTAGTGCTAATTAGCATACTAACATAGTAGACTGCAATAATGACCATTTTACCTGTCAGACACAGAGCTGTTAGCTAACCATTAATTCTCTTTGTCCTGTTTATTTTTAATGTCAGCTTCTGATTTTGACCAACAGAATAGTGCACAAATAACCAGACACAAAACTGTTAAGACAGTTCATTTTCACACACTCCTCATCCAAACACACCTCTCCATTTGGATCTGATACCAGTGAACCCATAGGGTCATCTGGAACTGAATCAACAGATGGTTTTCAATGGAGGCTCTCAGCGGCCCAGGGGCCCCCGGTCAGTCGGGGCCTGGAGGACATCCCTCTTGGAATCCATCTAAACTTTATTGTAAGTGCTGTCTCCTTTTTCTCTCTCTTCCGTGCTTCCTTAAAGATTCACAATGTCCTATAGGCTGGCAGTCACTCGATACGGAGGGAGAGGAAGGAGGCACCTTAAGGAGCAGGTCATTCTACTTGGGTGAGCACATGGGAACATCTGCCACTCTAGTATGACCTCCACTTTGTCTCTGATGAAAAAACATGGGAGGCGCCGAGTGAAAATATGAGCAGGTTCCAGCTCAGGGCATTGGAATGCTGAGAAAATGTTGTGATAAGGAGTCAAATGAATGGTACGGCGCATCTATTCTGCCTTTTCCCCTGCAGCGTAGATCTTTCCAAGGACAGTTACCTCTAATGGGGGAGGAGAGGGAGGGGATTGGGCTGGTGACATCATGAGCAAGGTCAACCCTGACATCTCATTGGTTAGCACCATATCAGCATTTTACTTTACTGTTATTTAAACACAGACATTACACATTTAACTTGGACAAAGTCATGCTGCTTAGTGAAAATGAACTTTTACAAAATCTAAACCACATTCAACAAACCACTGAAGATATATGACTTTAAGTATCAAAATGACTGACACAATATATACAGCATATACAGGAGAAAGTATGGACTAATCTCAGCATCAGCTGTCACTGAATGTTTCCCTTCAGCGCTGGCCTCTTTAGCTGTTTGGAATACAAATGGCCACACTGAAGCCAACCACACATGGTTGGTTTATACTACAAGTCAACACATAGGTCACACATGCCCTCAAGCTTCTCAGCCTCTCACCTCAGTACATACACCAGGGCTGTGTTCCAACCAACGTTTGCTCATTCACAAACACACATTTATATGCATGATATCTACAACTTAGAGAAGTTGTTTTTATATGTGGATTTGTGAAAATCCAGCTGCCATGTGTGCCTTCTAGCGTGACTGATGAAAACTATTAGCACTGTGTGGTTTCATGCTGTTTGGCATTAAAATAGTTCAAGGCAGCATATTTAAATTTTTTTTTATAGTAATCACGATTTTTTCTTAAACTGTAAAGTGCTTGAACATCATTTTCTTCTACACTAGTAGCCTGATGTACCTTAGACCTGTTTCTAAATTCAACCTAAATCAGACAAGGCACTTGGAACTACTTTCTTATGCTAAGTTCTGAACGTAGCTGGATCAACAGGATCAAGTGTTGTCATAGTGGGGAGGTTATTTTCAGGAGATGGAAATGCTGGACTATAGAACTAATCAGACTAACAGATGAACCTATATCCTGTTCTCGCACATGCTGGCCTGGGCCTCACTTGGTGTGCAGTGTGCATGTGTGTATGTGTGGATACAATGGCCCTGCTGTTTTCCCACCCACTGCTGTTGCTGTAGTTGCCTTACACCTGTGCTTGGCAGCCCTCCCAGCACACCCCCAACACACACAGCCCCAATCTACCCAGGAGCCCACACACCCCAGCCCATTTTAGTTCTCAGGTTACATCCTGCATTAGCTCTTAGTGCTGCACTACAAAGAACAATGCATATTCAACAGGCTCACGAGCTCAGATAATGCACATATGGCTCCTGAGGCACTTGTTACCACTTCATATCAACATTGTAATGGACAATATCAAAGGTTTCCTCATTTCCCTGCTCTACTGCCCCCCTCCTAACACCACTCATCCTACCTGAACCCATATCTGAGCAGTCCTGCACTCCCTCTCCCGCTCATAACCAAAGATGAGGGTATGAAGTGAGAGGGCGTGAAGGTGGCTGTGGAGACAAGAGTGGGCAGGTGACTGGTTGGATTTTAGGGGTTCAAAGGCTCACAGAAAGTCGCCATGCTCTTCTACAGTTTGATGGGGCCTTTGTCAAAGTGGAGCCTCCAGAAGGCATAGGGGAGGGTGAGGAGGTTTGGAAAGGGAAGGGGGAGGAAGAGGGGGTGCAGACCTTTGTGACACAGCCTTGGTCAGCAGAAGCCTATCTCTTTTCCCGTAGTGTCAGCATCACAGGTGTGTGAACAACAATGCATGTGTGTATTTGAGAAAAAGACCCATGGCCAATCAATGACACACTGTATTATAATCGTGTATTGTGGTGACCAGGTTGGTGGTAAAAGGTAAATACTTTTGGCAATAAACTCTTAGGAACCAGCTGCAAACAGGTGGCTACAGCGTTGCGCGAGATGGGGGGTGTCAGTCGTGGGAAGCAAGCTGTAAAGCACAGCACCTCCTTGATCAACATTTTGCCATAATAACCCGGGGGCAACAAACAATGACAGTAAGACAGAAAAAGATTGACAGTGAATTCCATTCGGCACCAGTTGCTAGGAAAAGGACTTTTCTTAATTCCCCATATTCATACTGGACTCCCCTACTCCCGCTCCCACATACCCCCCTGAGACTGAATAACTAGATTAAATATTTTTTGTTGGTAATTTGACAACTGTGTGTCTGCAGGGGAGGCAGGGTGCAACATTTTTGGAATATTTCCCATTAATTATGATGGGCCAGCTGTATTCTTGTATTCAGAGTTACTATTATGCTTATATGAATACATCTCTCTCCGCTTGTCACAGTGATTCTACTCCTGTATGTGGGGATGCTCAGAACAAAGCGACTCCTGCTCCCTTTCCCTCCCCAGGCTCATTCAATATGGCAAACAGTTCTACATCAATACCATCATGCAAATAACTGTGGTGCCATGTAGGCACTGCTGCATCCAGCACTGGTGCCTTCAAATGCCCCCTACAAACTGTGCTTCTTTTAACTGTACTTCTTTTAGATTTAAGCAGAATGGCGAAGGTTGCTCCTTGAAAGTTACAGAAGAAAACACTATATGGGGGAAAGTTGAATGACTATTTTTTAATATCACTTGAGCTGTTTATTGTTATTGTTTTTATTAAATGGTGAATATCCTATTCTACAAATTGTCACAAGCTGGTGAAAACAACCCATCAGTTTCCTGGATTCCAAGATCACTTCTTCAAATAACTTGTTTTAATTTAAAATGATTTTGAAATGATAGAAAAGTAGTAAATTTATGCATTTTAGAAACTAGAACCAGTAAATGTTTGACATTTTTGCTTGATACTGTAGTCAAGCCAACTCAGATGTCTGAGGATCACAAATCACAAATTTGCCTCAAGGGGCTTTTATCTGTACAGCATACAGCATTCTCTGTTCTTAGTACACTAGTAATATATGACAAACAGTATAGTATCAAATATTAAACAAAGGTAGGTGAGCAGTAGTTGGTGAAAGGTTTTTCCACTATTGCAGTAAATGATCTCTAACTGTGCCTCACAAATATCAATGTATAACCCCTGTATTAATTTAAGAAATTACCATATCATGTCATATGCATTGCAGGTAAAATGCAGAAAATGACTGAATGAGAATTAATTAACACCTGATGATCTGCTCAATTGACACGCAGCAACTTTTCGGCCTGTGAGAGAATGTTCTTAATGTGAAATTCCGACAGTCCCTAAAGGTTGCTGAAGTTTCTCATGTGTTCCCACTCCCCTCCCCTGAAAAGCACACACCACACACCCACACACGCGCATTCCAGCAGGCGGAGTCGGTGACGTGCTGGCTCGTTTGTGAATGAGCTGCAGAGAGCAACGCTCACCTCCGAGTCTCAGAGGCGCAGCCAAGCCCGGGAGTGGAGGCGAAAAGTTTGCCAAATGGATTTCTTTGCTGCTTTCAGATCTTTATTATATTCATATGCACTCATTAACAGCATATTAATTAGGCCTACATTGCAAACTAAAGAAGGTGAGTGTCTGTTTTAAAAAAACTTTCTAAAAGTTGGTTACCTTAAACTTTTTGAACCTTTTAAAGTTTACTGAAGTGAAGCGCACAGCCATACGGGGAAACACCTTTAGGAAATCTGTAAAACCAGTAGACATAATTTCATACTATCGTGACAGCCGTGTAGCATCTCATAGTCTTATTGTAGGCAAATACTTTACCAGTGTAACATGTTTCTCGTTGAGGTTATAAAGCTGTTTTATCAAATGCGCGGAGCGTGTGGGCTGCTCGCCTGCTCTGTTCAGCTTCGTAACAAATGCAGGTGAATTCTGGAGAAAGTTTGTTGAGTTAAACACATTTTTTTTTAAGTTCTGGATCACGCTGTAGTCTTTCTTGTCTTTTGTATTGGTCTTCAATATACAGAGTTACTTTTGTTTTTACTTTATTTATTTAGATTCGCATTTATTTATTTGATTCGCACATAATCCTAACCAAGTTGAGCGTATTTCTAACTAATAATAAGGCTGTATAGGCTGTATCCTGTGTTTTTGAGAAATATGGTTTTAATTTAGTAAAGGCTTAACTTTTTTCTAATGAGTTTAAAGGCTCTTTCTTGTGTACTGACTGTTCTCATGTCTTCACAGAGGTTATTTTGGACATGAGGGCAGCGGGAGGTGAACTGGGCTGGTTGACATGGACCTCAGACCAGGGAAACAAGGTTGGGGTGAGTAACGCTCCCGTTCCTCCTCGGGGTCCCACGTTTTCTTCTGGAATCTGCCTTAGGATAAATCTACATGGAGAGAATGGCCTGGCTGAACTGAGATCTGCTGCTGTGAAATATTTGGCTGTTTGACTTGTGTGGTTAGCTGTTCACTAGGCCTTGTGTATACATGTCAGGTTTCTATCAAATCTGGCAGCTAGAGCCTTTTTGCTTGGGTATGGATTTGAGAAGGAGCCTTTAGATCCAATAAGGAGTTGCCTGCAGAACATGTCTGGGCTACAGTGAGTCTTGGGCAGACAGTAGCTGCTAGTGCCGAACTGGGAATACTTGTGGTTTCAAGGCTTCAGCCTCACAATTGTATGTTAGCGAGCAATTAAATTTTAAAGTTTGCAGCATGTGGATATCTCTTTGACAGTACACAGTACACAGGAGGCATGTGTGCCTTCTTTCATATTGCACTTTAAATGTAACTGACCAGCCAGGCTCACAGAAATTCACAGGTCTCATTTTCTGTGCTGATGACTCAAGTACATGTGCAGGCATGCTGTTCACAGTGACTCACCAACATCTCAAGGAGGTTTCATTTCTTAAAAATGTGTTTCATTTTCTGCACTAATAATGATCAGGTATTGTTATATTCATTAAGGTTTGTTGGAAACATTTTGGTGTGTATATTTTCTAATGTAACTACCAAGTCTTATAAGTCATAAAGGCACATAATAAAAATGTTTTCAGCTGTTTAATGGACGTGTTAGGTCTGCTGTTGTACATCAGGTTTATATGCAGAGCCACACACACACTCAGCCAACAAAGCACAGTAGCTACATACAGAGACCAAACCTTAAATCCTGCCCTTGTAGGTGCCAGTTGTTCATCAAGAACCAAGCTTATGTTAAAGTATCCTGTCGCTTTTTCAAAAATATTTGTGGCAGCAGTTAATATGCAAGCAGTAATACTATTTGGGGAAGATGCCAGCCATAACAATGGCTCATGAAAGAATGAATTGAAAATAATTGGGTATCTTTTCAATCTTAGTTATGCTTTCTCACAGAGTCCTTGAGGTTTGTTGTGTTGCATGCTATAAAGGGCAGTTCTCCATGTTACAGATGTATGTTATTGCATTGAGGGATTGCTAAAGTATGCAGGTGGAATAATTAGCAATGTGTATAACCACCTTTTATCCTTGCCTCTGCTATAGCTTTGGTTCAGCCCGGCATGGGGCTCCCCAGGGGTCAGTGTTAGTACCTCTAACCTTGTTGTTTTGTGTGTTTTTGTTTCAGTGGGAGGTTGCCCAGAAGACCCTGAATGGTTCTCAGTTATATACCTATTCTGTCTGTAATGTTGGGGAACGTGAGCAGGACAACTGGCTGCGTACGACCTTCATCCAGCGGCGTCCATCAGCTTCACGGGTTTTTGTTGAAATCCAGTTTATTGTACGTGATTGCAACTCTTTTGGTTCTGCCTCACTGACCTGCAAAGAAACTTTCAACCTCTTCACAACGGAGTCAGATGCAGATGTCGGGACTACCTTCCGCAAGGGCCAGTTTAAGAAAGTGGCAACCATAGCTCCTGATGAGATTACCATCATAAATAATGTGCGCATCAACACAGAGACACGAGTGGTGGAAAACCTTTCTAGAAAAGGCTTCTACTTGGCCTTTCAAGATATCGGAGCCTGTGTTGCTCTTCTCTCCGTCAGGGTCTACTACAAAACTTGTCCAGCCACAGTGAAGAGCCTTGCATCGTTCCCTGAGACTGTGGCTGGAGGTGAAAACCAGGCTCTTAGGGAAGTGAGTGGGGTGTGTGTGGATAACGCCATGAGTGAGGAGTTGCCTCGTATTTACTGCACTGTGGATGGGGAGTGGGTGGTGCCAGTTGGACAGTGCCAGTGCAAACCAGGCTATGAAGATGTTGAAGATGCATGTCAAGGTAAGTGTTTGAGTTTGGCAATTAAAGGGAAAGTTAAGGAAAACTAAAGTTAAAATACAGCAAAACCTATTATCTGTTTATTTTACTACTACCTTTTGGGTTATGGTGTTTAGCATTAAAGCCTTAATGCTGTTTGGAACCTACTTTTATACTTGTGAAACCTTTTTTTTAAATTAGTGCAAAAGAATGGCTTTTTTTTCTTCCCATCTAGATAACAATAGAACAGGTATATCTTAAAAACCATACATTTATACTTATCAAACCTGGACATAATTAAGAAGTAGGCCCCACTAATAGTTTAAAACTGAGTGTCAGGCTTGTGAAATGTTTATTCCGTTTTGTGAAAACGCACATATATATTTTCCATATAGGCCACATTGTAAAAGGTCTAGATCAAACACCATTACATGTAACAATGTCAAATCTGGACTGGATTATCCCAGAGAAACTAAAGACTCTTTAGTATGGTGGTTTTTTATGTTGAGTTAGTGCTTTGATTTTAAAGAATAAAGGTTTCAGAAATCTGACAGAATAAGAGCTGCACTGCATAGAGAATAGGTTACTCTGTGTTTTAAGTTTACTTTAAGTTTCCCCTTAAATGCTGAATCGGAAGCTGTGAGTTGGAAGTTAACTTCAGCATTGCGTGGGTGACCATGCATCTCTGGTACTTGTAAAGGTCTTGCTGCCACTGGCACTTCATCCAGCCTTGATGTAAACACACAGTGCAGTTCTCATGAAAGTGTGGCTCATAAAGAAACAAATTAGCATTAGTCACCATTTATCTTTATTTTAATTGCTATAGATTGTGGGGAAAAAAAGCCTGAATTGCAGTCTGTTATTATCATTGTTGATTGGAATTCTCCCCTGGGCTAACATAACTCCTCCGCAATGGAAAGAATGCTCGGGCCGACTTGTACATGTCCCGGCATCGTCCCTGACCTTGAACCAAGACCTGCAAAATTAAGGAAATGTGCTTTTGAGTTCCAGCTATGATTCTAGAATATTTAGTTCTACAGAAATGTTTGTACAAATGTAAAAACTGTTATAGTTTTTGTGTCAAAGGTTCAAGTTGGCCACTAAAAAAAGTTCTGAGCCCCTATTTATTTGTTCTTACTGGTTTAAGAACCAAAATTACCCAGTTCATTTAATTTTAGATCTGAAATCTAAAATCTTCTTTAAAGCTCAATTTGTAGCACAATAATAGGTACAAATCTTCTTCATGAATGATTTTAAAACCACATATTTAAGAGGTTATTTAATGGATGTTAAAGCTGTGCTTAAACATTTCACCTTTCATATTACTTATGTAACTTGCAGAGTACTGCATCAGGTGATTTCCTGCTCTTTCATTATCATCTGTTCTCTTATCTTGATATGGCTCAGCTATGTAGTCCAACAATAATCCTGTCCTTTGACTTTGTAATTACAGTGCAGTTGAGTTTTATGTCTTTCAAAGAAGGCTTTTATTGTTGTGAGAAGGGCTGACAGAGTGACTGAAAGCAATCAAAGAAGCCGGGAGTTTTACTGTACACTGATGGATTAGCATCTTCGAGGCGGGTGTGGGGGAGAGGAGAGGTGGCAGGAGGAAGCTTCTGATCCCCTCTGTCTTTGTTCATTTCAAGCAGAGGCCCTCCTCTGCATGTCTCTGCATCCATCTCTTCCTCTTACCCCTCTGCTTTCATGAATTTGCTGAGCCTCAGCTTTGGGGTGTCCTGTGCGACTCCAACAGTGTATGTGAACACACAACACAGGCATGCCAGCCTGGGCCTGCTGAGCTCTGTTTCATGACAGAACACCTACAGACTCCTGTCGGCCCAAAGCAATCCTCCTCCTCTGCTGCCTTCTCTCCTTTTTTTGCCACTCTCATTTTTATATGCACACATGCATGACCTGGAACACACTTACAGGTGTGAATAACCTTTAGTCACACTCTGGAACACACACCTCGGACTACAGTTGTAAATCTACGTGCAGCCTGCATTTTAATAGGTTTTCTTTCTCACTTAGTTTCCCTCCCATTGGCAACAGGCTGATAAAAGTGGTGAAGTTTTCTTTCAGTACATCATTTTTAGCTGCGTGAAAATGCCAGGTAAGACGTAGGGAGAAGGAGGAGGAAAGGCAGAAAGGAATGAGACAAAATTCATACAGAAGTGATGAAGAGGTTGTGTTTAGTGGAAGGGTGTGATTTTGAAAGCGGACAGGGGTGAGGGATGGGACATAAAAGTATGAGAACAATGAAGCGCTGTGTTTCGCCGCAAGGTCGGAGGAGCCCACCTCCACCACCGCTGCCTCTCCCCCTTGGTTGGTACATACTGATCAGTTTGCCGAGGAGGAGCCTCCCAGCATGACTCCAGACCTGTGGAATTCCCAGAGAGGGAAGAGTGGCTCCAGGCCCTCACATTAAAATTACTATTAAAAAAAAAAACTATAGAGATGAAGTCAAATGAAAGGTCAGAGACAGACAAGGGCAGTTGCAGATGAAGGTAGAAATGAATCACAGGGCTGAGGTGCAGGGCCAAGATGAATGATTCAAAGGGCTTTAAGTGGAATCTCATCCAGACACTCAGTTAATCATTCATCCAACGTCTTTCCTGTACCGCATGCTGGTCAGGGAGAAACCTCAAAACTTCACTTGTGGTGTTTTTTCTTACTTGGGTCAAAAGTTTCCATGTTCAGCCAAGTGATTGCTCAGTTTTATGGCAGTTTGGCCTCATGAGACCTGTTAAAGTAGAAGTTTGACTTTATCTGGCTTTTGTCTCCATCTCTTCATCAGCACAGCCGTGAGCTTAGAGATCACACGTCCCTCAAACTGCTCCTGGGATCTTTTTTCTTTAGGTTTTCTGGAAAGTTTCTGTAGGTGGTGCTTTTTCTCTGTCAGCTGTCATTGTTCACACTAACTACAGAGTCCTTCTTTTGGAAAAACAATCTCTAGAGATTAAACCCATCACTTTCTCTGCTGCAGAGACCTAACAGTGCATTTAGAGCAACAAATGTAAGCTTTTATGAACTGGCTGTAAATCATATCAGCCATAGGGAGGCACAGAAAGGGCTTTTAAAACACATAAGAATCAGAAATGGAGTAAATATCTTGAAAGCTGATCTTTGTGTTTATTAACACAGTCTTCACAAGATTGATGAGGACTTGATGTTTTTTCCATTGGTATTAATTACTTTGTTTATACTGTTTTTGTTATCTGTATGCCCAGCTTCCTTCTCTAGTGCTTTACCAGCTTATGCAGCACTATAAATCTAATGACATGTGATGATTTTTAACACTCCTTCTCAGGTGGAAGAAGTCCTGAAATCTTTTACCTAAGCCAATGTAAAAATACTCATTGAAATTTTCCCTTAGTGAAGGTACTGACATATCAGTAAATTCTATTTTAAATATCAAAACTAAAATTGTGCAGAATGGCTCCTATCTGAATCTTTTACACACACACGTATATATAAATGTACAATATAAGCAGCATTTTAATGTCATAGCTGCTTGAAGTGGAGATATTTGTATGTTGGTAATTTAATGGAAGATGAATTTTGAATGAAAACCCTTAATCTCTACTGTAACTGTATTAATTATAGTAAATAAAGTACAATATTCACTGTAAAGTAGCACAGTAGGAGTACAAAGCAGCATAAAATTGTACTTCAGCACAGTGCTGGGACAACACGGTGGATGCAGTTTCCACTGCGTCACTTTGTGTTGCATTTGGCACTTGCTTTAGATCAGTATGCCATACTCCTAGTCTTCTTTGTGGAACTACAAACATCCTTTTTTAAATTCAGGAAAAAAATCCTAACCTTTCCCCACTAATTAAGTGGTTGACTTTTAACACCGACAGCCGCTCTGCAAGTTGCAACTTGTGACTCACTGTTGACACTGACAGTTTTCTCCACTGCCCATCACGCCCTTCCTTACCTATAATTCTCTCTGACACAATATAACAGCGTACTATGTGTCACCCCACAAAGGACCACAGGCTGCCCTGGCTGCCTCAGGATTGTCTTTAATTGTACAGGTCCACACCACCTCAGCTGCTCTAAAGCCTCAACTAATATGGCTTAATCACACATTAAGGCCGTATTTGTAAAGGGACACACAGCGTGGAATATGTGGACCGCTGAGGGCGGCTTTGGCGTCTTGGAGAAAATCGCATCTTGGTGGAACAACTGTCCACCATGTTCCAGTAAATTATTATTCCTCTCGCCAAAAAGGTTCCAGTAAACTATTTTCTGTCTCCCCCTCCTTTCCATTCTGTCCATGTCTCCAAACTCATCCTCAGCTGACGTAACAAACAGTCGGTGACTAAGTTGTAGTTGTGACTGTGCGCTGTGGTGAATGATTTGTATGGGTAGTAATTGACTTGGGTGTGTTTGTGCTTTTTAAGTGAAGTAACTACTGGTTCTGCCTGCTTTTTTGCCTTTGTGAAATCCCATTTGTTGTCCTCTACCTCTCGCCCCGCATCCTCCATGTCCCTGAAGAGTTCTTCTATTTTAGCCTCGATTTTCTGCCTCTTGTCTTGTATTTATTTTATAGTTTCTTATCTCAACTCTAATTCCCATGACTGTTTTAAAGCCCTTATTGCAATTTACTCAAGACACAAACGCTGTTATCCCAACTGGTAAAACAAACTAGCAGAAAAAACAAAAGTTTTTCCCTCGTGTGTTGTGTTCTTGTTGCCTGTGAAATTACAGAGCGACTGTTATTTTTGGCTGGATTTTTGGCGCAGGTCATGAATATGACACCAATAGAGTTTAAACATCCCGTTTCACATGGCCCTGATGGAACTGTTTAGACTGTGTACAGTTAACTTCTCTGATAAATACATATCTCTGTGGCTGACTTGTAAAAATAAATAGAGGCTAAGATTGAACAATGCCAATCAGAGAGATTTTAATGGAGGAATACAGAGAAACAACAGGGTTTGTTCACATAGTGGTCAAAGCACAAACATTTAGCGAAGGTAACATGTAAACTTCAGATGTCAGCGTTTTTGTTG